ATATATATATATATATATATATATATATATATATACGTAAATGATTTTCGATAATAATCCAAGTACGGAAGTCTACGAGGACAGCTGGATTCGACAAAAAGGTGCGTTTACGAGTAAAAGGGATTGTTAAAGTCTAATCGGTTTGCTTCAAGGTAGTAGCATGGTATGTGATAGAATATCTATAAACCAAGGAAACATGAGTACGAACACTTGAAGCGTATCCAAGGCGTTTATTTTACAAGTACAATGGAGAATAGGTCGCTTTATTTATAAACCTTATTACGAAGTAAATACCTTTTTTTTTTTTTGTTTTGTACACGAGTAATGTTCGTTTTGTATGTGGCCTATTCTTCTTTTTCCTTCTCCTTTTCCTTCGTTTGCTCGTCACAAGGAAACTCGACGATCGGTCGCTGAAATGGATTTAAGCGATCGGTGCACGAGAACGCGTGTATTGGGTAGAAAAGTATCAAGTGATGTGACGCATGTTCCTGTTTAGCCGAGCCAGCCCAGGCCGTGAGAGAACGCCCGATTCGTTGCCGCACATAGGCCCACGGTTCCCACCCAAAGGAAGGTTCGTCACACCTACCGTTACTTCCATTCTTTTTAATCGTCTGAGCTTTGCTTTGCTTTTAATCCTTAACACACTTTTCCATTTATTTTTCAGTTTTATCGGTCCTGTCGATCGCGTCAGGATAAACGATTCTCCCTTGTTTATTTCTTTCGTTTCTTTTCTCTCTTTTCTCTCATTTTTCTTTTTCATTTTCATTTATTAAGTTTCCATTAATCATCGTGAAGATTTATTAAGGTTGTTTTCGATGATTTACATATTTTCATTCATTAAGCTTCTTTTGCCTTTCATGCCATGTTTATTTAATTTACGATACAAAATGGAAATGTTGACACTATTTTGTACTCATATAGCAAGGGTGCCGAACCGGAATTCCGTAGTCCGAGAGTGAAACTGCTGTGGGACAGGTGGAGACACGTTTGGATGTTGGCATGGGAACGTCAACGTCGTCTGCAAGATAAATACAACTATATCCAAGAACTGGACCGTGTTGCAAATTTCAGTTGGGAGGATTGGCGCAAGAGGGTGAGTATATAAAACAGGAGCATAGTTATTTATTTATTTATTTATTTCGTTCGATCTAATCAATATTATTGTTTCATTATAGTTCCTGAAATTCATGAATCATAAAAAGTCCAGGCTGACAGATCTTTTTAGGAAGATGGATAAAAATAACGACGGTCTGATTCCACGCGAGGACTTCATTCAAGGAATCATGAATACCAGTGAGTCTTTTTTTTTTTTTTTAGTTCATTTGAATTTTTTTTCACAACAGAACATCATGAATTTATTTGCGTAGAATTCGAGACTTCACGACTAGAAATGGGAGCAGTCGCAGACTTATTCGATCGCCATGGTGAAGGATTGATAGATTGGAAGGAGTTCATCGCGGCCTTAAGACCAGACTGGGAAGAACGCAAAACGTACAACGACACTGACAAGATCCATGACGAAGTGAAACGATTGGTGATGCTTTGTACTTGTCGCCAAAAATTCCGTGTGTTTCAAGTTGGTGAAGGAAAATATAGGGTACGTGTTTGAAATTATTTTTTGTTTTAAAATTGCTGAGACTTCACAATTTGTAGTCATTTACGATGACAATTTATTTGTCTTTTAGTTCGGTGACAGTCAAAAATTGCGTTTGGTACGAATTCTACGATCGACCGTGATGGTTCGAGTCGGTGGTGGATGGGTAGCACTGGACGAATTTCTATTAAAAAATGATCCTTGCCGCGGTGAGTGTTTCTCTCATTTAATTTGTCTATTTTTTTTTTTTATCTATTCCGTTACCGCCGAATTATGCCGTCGGAATCGATGAACACGAACTTAGCCTAATTTAGAATGACTTTTTTTTTTGTTGTTATAACAACGAATCTTTACAAACTTTCAAACTTTCCTACGATTATTTCGTTTCGTTCCTATTTACCTCTGAACGCGACATAAATAGACCGGTTCTCAATTAAAAATAAAACTTCACTATTTCCTAGCCCTTTACCCCCATCCAAAAGAGGCAGCTAAACACATTTATGTTTTTTTACCGATTAAACACATATGGGATTTAATTAATTGTTTTGTTTGAAATATATTTATTAACGTTCTGTGCTTCTTACTTTGAGTTTTATTGTTTTTGTGTTTTATATCCATGCTAAAAATTTCAAACTAAAAACAGGAAAAATTAAACTCAATTACTTTTCGTTGCTTCGGGAATAAATATTTGCTTACATACGCGTTCATTGATTAAAAAAAAAAGAAAAGATTGTGTAACAGCTGCATCCAAAAACATTTCATTCATCAAATTATCTCACTAATAAATCCTTTCATCGACTCTTTCCGCGCGATCACTCATTTCTCTTCATTGTGTCGCATTTTTGTTGATGCTATGTGTACTCATCTACATTTAGTATACGTGTACGATCTCAGCTCCTGAGGTACAAAATGTGAGCGTGACTAATCATTAACCGATACTACATGAAGTTTTTAACACCATTTTATATGAGCAGAAGAAGAAAGCGTGTGCTCGTTACATGCGACCTCCGCTTCGTATAATATTTACCTGTGTGTATTGGCTAGGTTTTCATTTTAGCTTAATCACTAACTATCACGAATGAATCTTTGTTCCACGAATTATTTTAATATTTAGTTTCTATCTTCCTTTTATCGTTAAAATTTGCTCGAGTAGCTATTTTGTTGTAATATGTTTTGCAAAGCAAGTTCGTGGGACTCGATCGTTCGGTTGATCGCTATTGCGATCATAATATATCTTGGTACTTTAGGAGAGATTCGTATTGCTTGTCATTAGTATGTAACTAACGTCAGTCGAATCATCCTAAGCCAATCCCTCCTTTACCTTAACGAACAAAATAACAACATTCCATCTTGTTTCATTGATTCATTTTGTCTTTTATTGCGCACAATTTTATCGACGTTTTTTCTCCCCGATTTCATTACGTGTACATTTTTAAATTACGCATTGAGTTTATTTAATATTGCATGCCCTCATTTATTTTATATTAAAAAAAAAAAAAAAAAAATAAAGAAAAAGAAACGGACCGATTAAAATCCTCAAATCGTAATTAACTCGTTAAGTTTTTCTAATGCCGATACCGGACCCTAACAAACCGGAACAACATGAGGGTTGGTGTCCGCTCGGTGAGAAT